TCTTCAAACGGTTCATCATTCAGAGCTCGGAGCAGAGAGTTATGGCCTTGTTACCAGAGGTGTGCAGAACTGCCTGGCAGCACTGAAGTACTGCCTTTCTCCCCATTTTCGACCAACTAGACTTGAGATTTGGGTCTTCATCAAAACAAGAAGTTTTTAAAGCTCTGAATCAGCTCTCCAAATCTTTAAACGGTTCGTCATTCGGAATTCGGAGCATAAAGTTATGGCTGTTTAACCGAAGTAGGTTTGGGCGGAGTAAGGCAAGAATGGAGCATTCTGCTCCAATTTCGAGTGCTTGAGCCCTTATTTCGAGTGCTCGAAATTAGGGCAGAATTGCATCCGGAAATGGCCCATTTTCAGCCTCTTGCATCTTGGGTTCCTCAATTCTAATTTCCCTCTTTAATGGTTGGTTGGAGATGTTGGTTGGTGGGGATTTTTTTGAGCCTTATCTCTAGAAGATAAGAGAGGGAAGCCACACAATACATTAAGCTTCATTCTACAAGATTAGAGGAGAGAGAAGAGAGCAAGAAAGAGGAGTTCTTCAAGCCAACACAAGGGAGCACGAAAATGGAGTTGGATGCCTTGCTTCCTCCTTCATCTAGAGCTACCATGGGTAACTAAACCTCTTTTTAGGGAGTTGATGTAACCATTGTCAAGTAAATATGTATTAATTGTGTTTATATTTGGGGAATTTTGCATTTATGTAACAAGTTGTTTAATCTAGAGATACACTTTGATGTATTTGTGTTTCATTTCATATTTAATCTTGTAGAGACTCTTTTCTTGTCTTAGAAATTGTTTCTTCATGATTATGCTACTTACATCTTTATAGTGAGAATGAAGATGAGATTATACAATGGTTTTAATGGCATTTTGTCTAAGAAATTTAATAGTCCATGGCTTAGGGAAACCTTTGATGGATTATGGCTTAGTTCTTGACTTCATGTGCACTTACCACACAAATTGAGGACTTTGATTGTTCATAACTTAGGAAGGATACTTCATTCTATACCCTAGTTTAGATAGATGACTTATGCCAACCTTTGATGGATTATACTTAATTCTTGAATGTGTGAACTTCTTGAAGATATTGTAGTTGTCTTGCATTTCTACATATCATGGTTGCATGTATACTTTGTTCCCCAAGTTAATTGCAATTAGGCATGTTTATATGGCTTGTGGTGAAGTCAATTCCCTAGTCTCTTCTCTATTGTTCTATCTCTTTACTTCCTAGCACACTATTGTTTTATGCACTTTGAATTCCTAGTTTAGTGACCATCAAACAAACCCTTATTACCCCTTATCATTCTAAGAACAATTCTAGACACTTAGGTTGCCATAGACTAGCGCAGTCCCAGTGGTTCGACTTACCCGACCAATAGCCCTATTTTACAATGATTCGTGCTATTGCGAAGGTTGATGTTTAATTGACCAACCGATCAATAATCAAGATTTATATATACATGAATATCAAGATGTATCATACAACACTAATCCCTCAATAATACACAAGATTAGAGTATAGAAAGCATGCTTGGGGCTAACTCTAGCCCCAAGAGGATGTCTAGACACTCATGGTAGTGATGATCCAACCCTCAAGAGCTAACTCCATGGCTGCTCCTTGTTGGTGAAGATCTCCTCCAATGGTGCTCTAGCTTCCCTCCTTCCTCCTCTCCAAGAAGAGCCTCTAAGATAATTTTCAATGTGTGACAAGAGACTCTAGACTCCTCTCCAAAAAGTGTATCATATTCCTTATATAGGTAGGTCAAATACACCCTATGATGAGCTGTGGTCGTGCAAGGCATATTCTCCAATGATTGGGTGAAGGACGGAATAAATGAGCTGGACTTTAACTTTTTCTCGCTGGAGGAAGTTCGATCGATCGAACCTTAACTTGGATCGATCGAAGATGGGTTCGATCGATCGAACTGCATCTTGATCGATCGAAGTGGTCTGACTCCTCCGGATAAGAACAAGGCTGAGATATTTCGAAGATATTTATGGGGAAAAGGACAAAAGTGGTTGGTAGGCGTACAGCTGTGGATAAGATCAATCATTTAAATAGGACAAAATAGGGTTCGATCGATCGAAGGTGATGTTGGATCGATCGAACTTGGAATTTCAGCAAAGACCAAGGTTAGATCTATCGAGAAGTACTGTGATCGATCATAGATGTTCGATCGATCGAACTCTAAGTTGGATCGATCGAACTTTTCAGCTGCACAACTTTGATTCCTTTTTACTCCTTTCTTTCTCCACTTTGCTCCCTCATTTGGTTTATCTCAGGATTGCTTCAATTAAGCTCTTATTTGACTGAGTTAGCTCAATTTTGGGATTAGTGCCTGAAAATATAAATAACACGTAATAAGTCTAAAACGGCAAAGTAAGATAGATAAAGGTACTAGAATGCTTAAGCTTAACGGGTTTAAATGCGCACTTTTCAGTGCTCATCAGTTGGCTAGTGGTAATACCTTTTGAGGTGGATGGCATTCCATGGACGTGCAATAGAACGCCCATCAACTTCAGCCAACCGGTAAGCTCCCTTCCCTACCACTTCGGTAATCCTGTAGGGTCCTGTCCAGTTGGGTTCCAACTTTTTAATATACGCTGTCTCCTGCTTCATAACCCAATCGCCAACTAAGAACCTACGGTACCGGATATGCTTGTTATAACTGTTACACACCTGCTGTTGGTATGCCGCGAGCCGAATTGCTGCGGCATCTCTCCTTTCGTCCACAAGATTAAGGCTATGTTCGAGTTGTTGCTCATTATTCCCTTCCAGTACCAAGGATGTCCGATGGGTTGGGATTTAAATAAAAGAATATTTTGATCCAATTATTCACTCTTTTATCCCCTCAATGGTTGGGGAGGTTATTTGATAAAAAATTAGATAAGAGAGATTTATTAGAAAAGGTTACTAAGTCTGTAGGGAATTTTTTGTATTTTATCCTTTATATATATATATTAATATTAATACTAGTTAATTAATCAACCAGCTTGCTCCTTCAAGTTTGGTCCCCCTATACTTTTTGCACAGTACAATTATTAAATTATTGTTTTTCTTGGGCGGTGGGAAAACCCATTACAATATAAGTTTTTTTACACAATCACCCTTGTGTTTGGGAATTGTCTAAATTATTTTACATTGTTTAATTTTTAAATATTATATAAAATTATGCCATCAAAATAATTGCATATACTAGGGAAAATGCCCTTCAACCCTTATAATGACCTTGTAACCCCCTTAAATGGTTTATTTATTTAATTTTTCTATCAAGGCTCATGATGACTTTCAAATCTTGAGGTCACCCCCGAGAAGATAGATCATTGAGAGAGGTAGGGTAAAAAAGGCGAGAATAAGATTCTGATTGGATCCGCATTTTTTTTTTTTTGAAAAGAGAATAATATTGATGGACAAATATACCTTTGGAGCTATTTGATATGATATTATAGAGTATATGCAATGAACTAAATACAATTATATATACACAAATTATATAATTTACAAGCTACTTTTTAGTGTGTGGGTTGGGCTTGTTCTCTTCCCTTTATTGTTTGGTCTTGACAATGGGTACCTATATAATTTGCTCAACCTTTTTTTTTTTTTAAATAAACAATAACACATGAATAAATTATATAATTATATATCTGCTACGAAATAGCCATATCTCTTTCTCACCTACTTCTTTATCTCCATTGCTGCTGGTGATATCTATTGTGGTGCTTTTGAAACTATATTTCTATGAGCTCTCAATTTATGTTTCTTTTGATCTGTACAGATGTTTATGCATATATATATAAATCTGCAAACATTTGAAGTTGTAACTCTATGTCCGAAGTTAATATATAAAATGTTTTTATATTATTTTCAAAATTACAAGATATGATTAATTTAGATGTGTTTGTGTTATATTATACTTGTGCACGTTAAGGATGTTAAGGAAGTGTGGAGAAGTATTCAAAGAGTATCTACAACTTATCAAAGTCTAAATAGACACGTCACGATTATGACTCATTCATTGAAGTGTTTCTGCTCGTTAGGCTATAGTACTATTATAATTTTAATCCTAGCAAATAATACACCTTTTTTATGCAAAATTAAAATCAGAAATGATAAAAATTTAAAAGTTAGATTTATTTTTTATTTTTTTATTGACAAGAAATACACACATACCTGTAATTTGAGGAAATACCATTAGATTACTCACACACTCACTTTGTCTCTTCGAGAATTTTAACAATCAACCTTCTAATTTGAAGAAATACCATTAGATTACAATACCATTGATATTTGAACGTTTATTTTTATTTTTTATTTTTTCCTGAATTATTTGACGTTTAATTGATAAGTGGAATAAACTTAGATTAAGTTTTTCTTTTTTGGTTGATTAATTTGGTCCATAACCTGGCTAAAAATTTATTCCAATCATATCTCCTCCTTTTAAGGATATTGGTAGGTCAAATCCTAATCCTAATAAGATAAATGTTTGAGCTTGACTTACCTAAAAAAATAAAAATATTTTTTTATTGGCTATGAAACTCACACACTCACTTTGTCCCTTTAGAAATTGGAATCCTCACACCATCCACTCTGAAAAATAGATAAAATATAGCTGAACGACAAAATCCACAAACAACAAAAGTGAGATCCATAACTAAATTGGTTTTTATTTACTTTTATATTTTAAACATGTTTCCTATATCAATTCATTGTAATGCGAAATGGATTATAAAGGGTTTACTTGAAATTATACATGCCAAACTAAAAATCTTTTTTGTTTACGTTTCCTTTATTTATTTATTTCTTTTATAATATGTTAGGAAACAGAATGTTATCAACATGTTAAAGCTTTATTAATTTCTCTATAACACTTTGATTTACGAAATCAATTTAAATTGTTTAGTATTATTTACATATATATGAGTTATATCTGAGAAAACTATTTGTTATATAGTAACTTGAATTTTTTATTTTTAATCAGACTAATTATATTTATTTAATGTGCTTCGTATTTAATAGGCACGTTTATCAAAACTATTGTTCGAGGAATATCAAAACTATTGTTCGAGGAACTTTAAAAGAATTGGGGAGGCATGTACCATTTAATGTTGCCAAATACCAAGTGGGAATAGAAACTCGTGTCAACAATGTGATCGGTTTGCTAAATAACGGGTTAGAGGATGTGAAAATTGTGGCGATTTGTGGAACTGGTGGGATAGGAAAGACGACCGTTGCAAAAGCTGTTTTCAATCAGATATTTGATCAATTTGAAAGTCGTTGTTTTCTCAATGTGAAAATAGTTTCAGAACAACATGGTGTAACTTATCTACAACAACAACTCTTGAATAACCTCTTGATGGAAGATGATCTAGAGATATGTCATGTTGAATACGGGATCAATATGATAAAGAAAAGACTCTGTCATAAGAAGGTTCTTATAGTTCTCGATGATGTGAATAGTTTGAAGGAATTAGAAATTTTAGTTGGAGCAAATGATTGGTTTGGTTTGGGAAGTAAGATCATCATAACAACTAGAAATGAACATTTGTTGGTAGAGAACAAAGTTGATCATGCAATATATAGGGTTGAGCTATTGAATGAGGATGAATGTTTTCAACTTTTTAGTTGCCATGCCTTCACGAAGAACAATCCTGAAGAGAATTATTTGAAAATCTCATGGAGTGTAATAACTTATGCCCAAGGCCTTCCATTAGCTCTTGAAGTTTTGGGTACTTTATTATATAAAAAAAGCATAGAAGAGTGGGAAATTAATTTGGATAAATTAGAAAGAATCCCAAACAGAAAAATTCAAGATGTTCTTCGACTGAGTTTTGATGGCCTTGATGACATGGATCAAAAGAATATATTTCTCGATATTGCATGTTTTTTCAATGGATGGGATGAAAAAAATGTTATGGATCTACTGGAGAGTTGTGGTTTTTACCCTCGAATTGAAATACCTATTCTTATCGACCGGTCACTTCTAACTATCACGAATGATAGAATATTGAGTATGCATAATGTGATACAAGAAATGGGTAGAGCAATTGTTCTTGAAGAATCACCTGATCCTGACGAACGCAGTAGGTTGTGGACTTTTAAAGATAACAAAAAAGTACTTGGAGAGAATACGGTATGTTCTAACTACATATAAGTTTATGCAAGTAATTTGCAAAAGATAGACTTATGTTCTGATTACATATAAGTTTCTGCAAGTAGTTTGTAAAAGATAGACTTTGCTTTTATCTTCTTTCATATAAGCACTTGTAAACTTGTATTCTTTTACTTTTAATTAGATGTTAATGTAATTTGGTAACTTACATCATGTTTTTGGTCATCAGGCGACAGAAGCAATTAAAGGCATTATGCTAAACATGCCAGATGGCCATCTATCAGAGGAGTTACTTATAATTAATGCTGATGTCTTTGCAAAGATGAAGAAACTAAGACTGTTAAAACTTAGTGGGCCCGTACGGCTTTGTGGACAGATTACATATCTTGTTTGGGATGGTTATCCACTTGGTTTTCTGCCATCCAATTTCCATCCACAAAATCTTATTGAACTTCAGCTTCCAAGTAGCCCTATCAAACAAATTTCAACTGCAGTCAGCGAAAGATCCTCACAGTTTCTTTACGCACTTACACATACACATGATTAGTACCGTTGAGTTTATTGGAACTAATTTATTTGTTTCATTCGCTTATTCTCTTTGCAGTCTTCAAAAAAGTTAAAATCGCTTCTTCTTAGTTGCTATCGATATTTGAAAGAAACTCCTGATTTGTTCAGTCTCCCATGTCTCGAGGTTTTAGATCTTATGGAATGTGTAAATTTAGTTAAGGTTCACCTTTCCAGCGGAGTTCACAGCAGGCTTGCAAGTGTGCATCTCAGCGGATGTATAAAACTCAGTAGTTTGCCAAGAAGCATTCAGTGGACAAATCTGATAGAATTTAATCTGTCAGGATGTGTAAAACTGGGGAATTTTCCAGAGATTCAAGGGGATATGGATCGTTTGGAGAGACTTAGATTAGACAATACTGGAATAAACGGTTTACCATCATCATTTGAGCATCTTAATGGGATACAGATATTAAATCTAACGGGGTGCCAAAAGCTTAAAAATGTTCCAAACAACATTTTTTGTAGAATGAAGCGTTTACAAGACCTTTATATGGAAGGAGTTGCTATGACACAGTTACCATCATCCATTGTACACTTGAGTAACCTTGATATGGAAAGAGTTGCTATGACCATTTTTTTTTTTTTTTTTTGGTACATATACATATACACAGGCGGCCTATAATATATATTCTATGTTCTTGGAAATTTGAAATGAGAAAAGAAATATTAGAGAAGTGAAGAAACAAATGATCCTTAGAATGACAATGTGGACTATTGTAACAAGGGTCATTTGTCCCACGTCGGAATCAGATGGGAAAGTAATTGGGTATAAATGGGTGGGTATACAGCACTACCCAATAGTTCGAGTTTTTGAGTAAATGGGCAAGCGCCCACCCATTACAGTTGGTATCAGAGTCAGACCCAGTCCTTAATCCAGTGCCGCGCCCGGCCCGGAAGGCGTCCGGGTGTGCCATCCCGGGTAGGCAGGGTGGCCCAACCGCAACGAGGGCGTTGCGAGTTTGGGTGGGGGAGAATGTAACAAGGGTCATTTGTCCCACATCGGAATCGAATGGGAAAGTGATTGGGTATAAATGAGTGGATATGCAGCACTACCCAATAGTTTGAGTTTTTGGGTAAATGGACAAGCGCCCACCAGTTACAACTATACATACATATTTGAGAGCACAAAACTCTCTCTCTCTCTCTAGTGTAATAGTGCTTTTCACTCTCTCTCTCTCTCTCTAGTGTAATAGTGCTTTTCACGAATAATTGTTTCATTTATCATTTTAAGAATTGTAAATGAAGTGAATAATTCCAAAATGAGTACGCACTAGAAAATTTATCTTTTTTCGGGACAACTTATTCACAAAGCAAAAGTTGGAAGAACTTTTATCAAGGACTTTGTCACCATGATATTGGTGTGAGATGGAGATAAGTTCGTTGATAAAGCGATGAACCTACTAGGAAGGCAAGATTCAAAAGACTTTGTTCATCATGATATTGGGTGTGAAAGTGAAAGTTGCAAAGTGTCAGAAGTGAGACTTGTTAGATATTGGATTCAGATGACAATTGAAATATGTATAAATAGGTGGATATGTATTATTATCTAATAGCTTGAGTTTTTAAGTAAATGAATAAGTGTTCACCCATTATAGTTGGTATCAAAACCAGGCCCAATTCTTATCGGGTGTCATGCCAAGCACCTGACCCGAAAATGTCCTGATCCTCTAATTTGACCCACCTGAAGCTTTCACACACTACAGATTATTATCGGACTGAATGATTGAAAAATCCAATCAACAACTTGCATCTGCATATTTAAAAAATGAAAAAATAATTTCCACCTAAAAAGTTTTTTGTTCTTATCAATAAGGATCGCGACAATTGACCATCAAGTTCCAACTCAAATCATCCTCCAAAAAAGATTCCATTCAAAGTCACCAGCAACTTCCTCTCACCTGTATATTATTCATTCCGCAAAGAAAACCTTTTTTTAAGGGAGGAAAGTTCACAGCAACTTCTTTGTGTGTACATTCATCCTCCAAAGTAAAGCTGAGTATTAATTGGAAGGAAAATAATTGCTTGGCAAGCTTAGCCTTCAGTTATATAATTGTTCAAAAGAGAGCTTTTCCGAAGTATTACAATCGCTTTGAGTAATTCTGCATTCACAAATTAGCGGTTATATATGGCTGCTGCTTCATCATCGTCTTCTTATTCTTTGCTTCGATGGAATTATGACGTCTTCTTGAGTTTTAGAGGCGAAGATACTCGCAAGAATTTTGTGGACCATCTCTATATGGCTCTGCATCGCGGAGGAATTTACACTTTCAAAGATGACAAGAAGCTTGAAAAAGGAAAATCGATTTCTTCGGAACTCCTCAAGGCCATTAAAGAATCGAGAATGGCAATCATTATATTCTCAAAAGACTATGCTTCTTCATCGTGGTGCTTGGATGAATTGGTGGAGATCATTGAATGCAAGAGGACGATGAGACAGATAGTCTGGCCAATCTTCTACAATGTCGATCCCTCGGACGTACGAAAACAAAAGGGAAGTTTTGGTGAAGCATTTGCCAAACATGAAGAAACTTTTGGGGAAGACAAGGAAAAGGTGCAAAGGTGGAGGACTACTTTGGTTGAGGCAGCAAATCTAAGCGGATGGGACTTGAACAATATTGCAAATGGGTAAATTAATTCACTGCTCTAAGTATAACATTACATCTGCTTCTATCAATATTTTACTTTATTATTATTATTATTATTATTTATTTATTTATTCTTATTTAAAACTATGTCCTAGTCTCCTAGATCTGTGACTCGTGTTTGCCCAGATTAGTTCCAAGTAATTATTATTCCATTTGAAAATTAGTTCTAATTATGATTACTTTGGGAATTAATCATTATATATATATATATACCTCCCAAATTAGTTCCAAAAACAAAACTTATTGCGGTCCAGAAGGTATCCGGGCCAGCCACCCTACCTACTAGAGTGGCTTGATTGTAATGATGGCGTTGCGAGTTCGAGTGAGGAAAATATTAAAAGTTTGTACCACGTCGAATCCGGATGAGAGAGTAAATAAGGTATATATGGGTTAGATAGCCACATCTTATAACTTAGGCTTTTGGATTGCATCGCGAAACATCCACTAATTACGGTAGTTCCTATTTCGAGGTGTTTGGGAATTGTTTAAAATAATCATTTTATAACGAGGTGAAATAATTATATATACTAGGGAAATTGCTCTTCAACCCTTATAATGACCTTATAACCCCCTTAAATGGTATCCCTTTTTTATTTTTTGAAAAAAAATAAAATTAAAAATAAAAATTTATAGTCTACCAAGCCTTATGATGACTTTCAGAAAAGCCTGGATTGCTATCCTGTCCAGATCAAGAAGATAGATAATTAAGGGAGGTAGGATAGAAAAAGGGCAAGAATAAGATTATGATTGATTTTTTTTTTTTTTTTTTAAATTTATATAATTTTACAATAACAGGTGAATAAATTATATAATTATATATCTGCTACGAACTAGCCAGACCTCATTCTCACCTACTTCTTTATCTCCATTGTTGCTGGTGATATCCATCTCGCATCCATCGTTGCACTACCATTGTGGATTAGAGTAGGAAGATTACGCACACACTTTTCACACTTTTTGAAACTATATTTATATGTTTATATATATATATATATATATATAAATCATTGATGTTTGACGTTTTATTGATAAGTGGAATAAACTTAATTTATTTTTGCGATGATGATTAAGTTTTTCTTTTTTGGTAAGTTAATTTGGTCAATAACCTGGCTAAAAATTTAGCAGTCATATCTCCTCCTCCTTTTAAAGATCGATAAATTGGTTGGTCAAATCCTAATAAGATAATTGTTTATGCTTGGCTTACCTAACAAAACAATAATTTATTTTATTTTATTTTATTTTATTATTTTTTTTTTTTTTCATTGGCTATGAAACTCACACACCAACTTTGTCTGGGACTCGAATCTTTACTATTCACTTTAAAAAATAGAGAAAATATAACTGAACGCAAGATCATTAATAAAGGAAAAAAAAGAGTGAGATTCACAATTAAATTAGTTTTTTATTTACTTTTATATTTTAAACACGTTTCGTTTATTAATTTATTCATTGGAGTGGGAAATGGATTATAAAGGGTTTACTTGAAATTATACCAAACTAAATTTCTTTCTTGTTTACGTTTCCTTTTTTATTTTTTTAATTATTTCTTATAATATGTTAAGAAACAGAGTGTTATCAACATGTTAAAGGTTTAATTATTAATCTATCTCTAACACTTTGATTTACGAAATCAATTTCACTTGTTTAGTATGATATATATATATATATATCAGTTACAACTGAGAAAACTATTTATTATATAGTAACCAGAATTTTTTTTTTTTAATCAGACTAACTATATTTATTTAATGTGTTTTGTACTTAATAGGCATGAGGCAAAGTTTATCAAAACAATTGTTCAAGAAACTTTAAAACAATTGGGAAGGTATGTACTATTAAATATTGCCAAATATCAAGTGGGAATTGAAACTCGTGTCAACAAAGTGATCGCTTTGCTAGATAATGGGTTAGAGGATGTGAAAATTGTGGGGATTTGTGGAAATGGTGGAATAGGAAAGACCACCATTGCGAAAGCTGTTTTCAATCAGATGTTTGATCAATTTGAAAGTCGTTGTTTTCTCAATGTGAAAAAAGTTTCAGAACTACATGGTGTAACTTATCTCCAACAACAACTCCTGAATAACCTCCTAATGGAAGATGATCTAAAGATATGTCATGTTGACTACGGGATCAATATGATAAAGGAAAGACTCTGTCATAAGAAGGTTCTTATAGTTCTCGATGATGTGGATAGTTTGAAGGAATTAGAAATTTTAGTTGGAGCAAATGACTGGTTTGGTTTGGGAAGTAAGATCATCGTAACAACTAGAAATGAACGTTTGTTGATAGAGAACAAAGTTGATCATGCAATATATAGGGTTGAGCTATTGAATGAGGATGAATCTTTTCAACTTTTTAGTTGCCATGCCTTCACGAAGAACAATCCTGAAGAGAATTATTTGAAAATCTCATGGAGTGTAATAAATTATGCCCAAGGCCTTCCATTAGCTCTTGAAGTTTTGGGTACTTTATTATATAAAAAAAGCGTAGAAGAGTGGGAAATTAATTTGGATAAATTAGAAAGAATCCCAAACAGAAAAATTCAAGATGTTCTTCGACTGAGTTTTGATGGCCTTGATGACATGGATCAAAAGAATATATTTCTCGATATTGCATGTTTTTTCAATGGATGGGGTGAAGAATATGTAATGGATCTACTGGAGAGTTGTGGCTTTTACCCTCGCATTGAAATACCTATTCTTATTGAGCGGTCACTTCTAACCATCACGGATGACAGAATATTGAGTATGCATAATGTGATACAAGAAATGGGTAGAGAAATTGTTCGTGAAGAATTTCCTGACGATCCTGGTAAACGCAGTAGGTTATGGTCTCTTAAAGATATCAATGAAGTACTCAGAGAGAATACGGTATGTTCTAACTACATATAAGTTTTTGCAAGTAGTTTGTAAAAGATAGACTTTGCTTTATCTTCTTTCATATAAGCACCTGTAAACTTGTATTCTTTTACTTTTAATTAGATTTTAATGTAATTTGGTAACTTATATCATGTTTTTGGTAATCAGGCGACAGAAGCAATTAAAGGCATTATGCTAAACATGACTCATGACCATCTATCAGAGGAGTTACTCGTAAATGCTGATGTCTTTGCAAAGATGAAGAAACTAAGACTGTTAAAGCTTAGTGGGCCCGTACGGATTTGTGGACAGCTTACATATCTGTCAAATGAATTACGTTATCTTGTTTGGGGTGGTTATCCACTAGGTTTTCTGCCATCCAATTTCCATCCACAAAATCTTGTTGAACTTCAGCTTCCAAGTAGCCCTATCAAACAAATTTCAACTGCAATCAGCGTAAGATCATCTGAGTTTTTTACGCACTTACTTACACATACACATGATTAGTACCTTGAGTTTATTGAAACTATTTTATTTGTTTCATTGTCTTATTCTCTTTGCAGTCTTCAAAGAAGTTAAAATTGCTTCGTCTCCGTCACTGCCCATATTTGAAAGAAACTCCTGATTTGTATAGTCTCCCATGTCTCGAGTATTTAGATCTTACAGAATGTGTAAATTTAGTTAAGGTTCACCTTTCCAGCGGAGTTCACAAGAGGCTTGTTGCTTTGTTTCTCACTGGATGTATAAAACTGAGGAGTTTGCCAAGAAGCATTGAGTTGAAAAATCTGGAATATTTTGATTTGTCAGAATGCTTAAAACTTGAAAAGTTTCCAGAGATTCAGGGGGATATGGATCATTTGGAGTATCTTAACTTACAGAATACTGGAATAAAGGATTTAGATCCAAGGGGGTGCCAAAACCTTAAAAATGTTCCAGACAACATTTTTTGTAGAATGAAGCGTTTAAAATACCTTTATATGAAAGGAGTTGCTATGACACAGTTACCATCATCCATTGTTCACTTGAGTAACCTTAAAATACTTCGTTTCTCTCATTCATTTTTGGGAAAGAGAAAAAGAGGTAATTCAACTTATTTGCAACTGGAAATGCTCTCCGGTTTGTGCAGTGTAACTTATTTACAACTCAAAAACTGCAATTTATCAGAAGAATCTTTTCCGAATGATATGAGCAGCCTTTCCTTTTTGACATATTTAGATGTGAGTGAAAACAATTTTGTTCACATACCAGCAAGTTTCATTCAACTCAGGAAACTTGGCTGGATTAATTTGGAACATTGCAGAAGCCTCCGAACGTTGACGTCACTTCCGCCATCCGTAAGATATGTGAATGCACATGGTTGCAAATCATTGGAACGGTATTGGATTAATCCAAGTAGTGAAAGAAGTCCAGACAATTGGAGATTAATATTCAGTGGGTGCCACAAATTGGTTATGGCTGAGAGGAACAACATGCCAAGTATATCACCAGAAAGTCTGCCCCAGGTTCCCCCTATCTCTTTTGACACACACACACACACACATATAGATATATATATATGAGGAATAACATGCCAATTATATATAATATATATGATCTATATATGTTTTATGCAACAGGAAAATTTTGGAATCGTTTACCCAGCAACTGGGATTCCGCATTGGTTCAACCATAAGATCGAGGAGGAAGTACGTTTCGAAGAAGGAAGTGGGTTTCAAAGGAGGAAGTATATTGGGGATCATTACAACAATGTCAAAGGAATTGCTTTCTTTGGTGATGTTTTGGAATTTTCTGAAAGTCATATCTCAACATCAATGGTTATTAGTCTCTCAATCAATGGTTATTTCTTACCGTATCTGGTATTCCCCTCGGAGAGTTTATCAAACCAAGCAATTTTTACACACTTCACTGAATATTACGATGGCGATGAAAAGGCCTTTCGACCAATTATAAATTTGATGAACAAGAAACCAAAGCTCAGCGCAGGCCCTCCCAATATTTGTGATGATTCCTGCTACATTGAGGCTACAATTTACTTTGCACATGGGAAGCTCAAGAAATGGGGTATCCATATCGTAATGGAGTCGGACCAAGCTGAGACGTCAAACCAAGGTGAGTAGACCTAGTTATATTCAGTAATTATTATGTAAATAAATTTCATCTTTCTCTTCAAAATTAAATTTTCAAAACTCAATCCTTAGAATCACACCAACCACCAACATTATTTTTGCACAAGTCTATTATTTATAACATAAAGAGATTTAGAACAAGATCACACTTTTCACTATGGTTAATGTGTCGGTCTTCTTTATGTTTTATTCAATCAAAATAGAAATGGAAATACTCAGCATGGAAATTTTGGCTCAGAATCCATAGTGAGAAATTCGTTTCTTTTCATTTCATTTTATATTATTTCATGTATTTAGCTTTTGGGTTTTTGATTTCTTTGATTTTAAACTTTCTGGAGAATATTATAATATTATGAGGACTTATAATTACGTTTTTTTTGTCTACTCTGGTTTGAACTTGAATTAGAGGGTTTCTAGTTTTGGGGGACTTTTCTGGCTTTTAGGAATACTCAGAACTTTGATTTCTTATATTGGCACCATTAGATTGATAATTTAGGCACATATCCTATGAACATTCTAGATATTTGTCTACTTTTACTTCTTATTGCAATACGGGCATTACAATTATTTATTTATTTATTTATTTTATCATGTTTTGTTATATTGGGATTATATTATATATAGTAGCATTGATTCATATTTGGTCATTGAATATTTCCTTTCAATTAGTTTTGATATATCTTCTCGTTATGCATTGAGCATCTAATAATTTGCATGGTCTGGTATTTAACGAATTTCCATGGTTTTTTTTTTTTGTTTTTTTTTATTTTTTTCCTACAAAAGCTAATTAAATGGCAAATTTTGGACGCCTTTGTAATGTGTTAATTCAATTAGTTTTGTTATCTGTCAAAACCAATTTGTTATGCCTTTTATAAAAATTTATGCAATTTTATGCACTAATTAGCAAACATGTCTCTTCATTAGCTCCTAAAAGAATCATCTCAAATTTGAGGAAAGTTAAATGAAAGAAGTCGAAAGAAAGAAACAAGTCAAGGCTAAGGTACGCAATGAGATTACCTATTTCTTATTTCTTGGTTTTTCATTTATATTTTCTTAGTTAGTATTCACACGCACATAACTCCGCTAATGCTTAAATTCTTGATCTCTCTTTGAAAAGTGTAGAAAAAAGGGAAAAGAATACGGAGATTTAAGGTTAAGTTTTGTTCTTAGTCTTGTTAACTTCATATTAAAGACATCCTCTGTACAGCTTGCCATTGTGATCGATGATCAGTGAAAATTTTTCAATAAATAAATTAAGGCTTCTAATGAAATTTCTTGTACCCTTTGTTTGTGTTCAGGTTTAATTCTATTCTCATAAGTTTCTTGTACTGCAGAGCTTGGTGTTTAATTCTCTGCATCCCACGTCAAGGTTATCATCCTTCTGGAGATAGAAAAAAGCAGGTAGAGCAATTGTTCTGCTCTGTACCAAGTTAGCATAAAAAAAGAAGTTGTTTCTGGTAAAACAAATGGAGATATAGAAAACATTTGTGTAGCTTTCGTTATATGTTCTTGTATATCTACATTTTCATGGAGGTTCTTTAGATCCATCCATTTGTATATGTTCCAATTAAGATTTGTTGTGTTTTAGCTGCAGGAATCACAATTGCAAAATCCCTAATGCCTCTGTTGTATGTACTTGAATGTGTTTTAGCTGCAGGAATCACAATTGCAACTTGTTACTGAAAGGTCCAAGTATTTTATTTTGGGAACGAAATTTATTATTTTTTATTATATTAATTGCAAATGAATTATCAAATTTATTCCTATGGATTCACATCATTTAATTTTTATAAGTTTAATGGAAGAATTTTAAATTAGTAATATTATAAAAAATATTGTATTAACTTTTCAAATGGAATACTTATTTTGAAACTCATAAGAATGAAAAGATGGACACTTCTCTTGAGAGAGAAGGAATTCTCAAAATGACAAACCCATCTTATACTAATCTATCTTTTTTAGATTAAAAGTCATATTGTTTGATGTATATACCATATATAATAAGGAGCAATTGAGTCTTTTCATGTTTACAAGGTGGTATTAGGGTCTTTAAATTATATACTATCTATCATGTGACCAGACGGTGAGTTTTGACCAGCACATTGTCTATCAACCGACCTATCTGCAACAAAAATATTTGGTTAAGGGTTTTTTTTTTTCGTAATTTTTGTAGTTCAGAATAATTTTTTTTTACATTTAATTATATATATATATTACTCATAAATGACCTTTTTCTCATTGGTGAGCAAAAACTTCCATGTACGCGGTGGATGTGATTTGCTATGTTATTTTGGTAATTATATTTTTAACATATAATGGTTATCATGTACGGTGCCGATGAATTTCTTACTTACGGATAAGTAATAGATCATTATTTTCCTATTAAATTTCTTATAGACAACAAATTTAATATGGAATTTTGAATAAATAATTCATTAAATATTAATTGAATAACAATAATTGGAAATTGGATTTAATATAGCTTGATTGAATCCCAATTAGATTGTTAATATGCTTTCAATTATTTTTTGTTAATAATTCCCACCCATTTTTGTTATCTGCCAAAATCAATTTGGAGTTATTTCTTACATATTGTGTTTAATTTAGTCTAAAGTCAATGTTTATGCCTTTGCAAGATAACTCTTGGTTTTCCATGTGAATTTTAATATAATAAGCTTGAAATACAATATTTAATGGTCAAATGTTCCAAATGCAAAAGCTTTAGACATGGTTTTAAATTCAGGTATTGTCAAAATTATGCGCATCTTTTTTCATTTTTTTGCCCCCGGAAATTTGATGCAACTTATTTGCTCTGCTTTTGCTGTGGATCATACGTATTTTCCACTACTGATTGTACAAACAAGCATTTTTTTTTTTTTTTTTGGCTTTTCACTTAAATGCCTGGTCTCCTATACTATCATCTTATATTAAGTTTTGTAGTTTTAGAATTTCTTATCATTGTATATTCCTTACAAGACATTTTTAAGCCAGAGAGAGTGAAACCTTTGGATGGAATTTTTTTATTTAAAAAAATTTAGGAAATTCCTTTTTATTATTTTTCTTCTTCTTATTAATTACTTGCAAAACTAATAAAAAAAATATATATGCAGACTTCTAAAGAGAGATATTGGACAACTTAAAACATACTCAAATAGTGACAACTGAGGTAAAAATATCAAAATTACAAATGTTCATGACTACTAGGATTGAGTACATTAAAGATGCAAGAACATGATACCTAATTGTTGATGAGTTTTATGACTAGTTGAATTATATTTTAGATATTGAAGAGCAAAGATACACCAAGTCATTGATATATGCCAACAAATGAAAATGCACTATATATAAAGATTTTGAGTCGTTTTTATAAACTGATGGGACCAAAATTGAATAAAGTCCATCCACTTGAATTAAAGTTTTTTTTACAAAATAAATAAATAAATATAGCAATAAATTGAGAATGTAATCAATCAAAAAGGTTCAGGGTAAGTAAACATCAACTTTATTATTAGTCCAAAAAAATCATTCTCCAAGAAAGTTTCATTGAAAGTGACCGGCAACGTCTCTCACATCCACATTCATCTTAATTCAAATTAGTTGGATAAAGAGGAGAGTCTCATTGGAGAAGGAAAAAGGTCTGAAATTTGGCAGGAAGTTCCAAGCAAAGTTTCATTGAAAGTCTTAACAAAGTCTTAATAATGGAAATACTTCAACAAAGCACCCACTATTGGATAAGTTTCACCGGATTAAAAAAAATAAAATATAAAAAATAGTGAATTAATTCAAGAAAATTCTTTGAGGTTGTAACACAATAAGTTATTACATGGTTTTGGACCAATTATCATTGGACGCGTAAATAATTATATTCTTAAAAGTAGTGTAAGTTTTTACGTACGTATCTACAGGTAGGGGCCAGGGGTGGCCATGGCCCCCCTAAAGATTTTCAAATTTTTTTTAGTAACCCCCAAAATATTTATATCGTAAATAAATTTAATTTATGATCCCAAAATTTATAATAAATTCTAATTTGGCCCCACCTAAATATTTTTAAAACATTTATTTATCAGCCCAAAAATAGAGTGAAAATAAATTTAACTTATTTCACTTTTAACTCATACAATATCAACTTAGAATATATTAGCCATACTTTTAAAAACTTAAATCTTGTGAAATAAAAATGTAAATTCATTATTATTGCAATCCCTACAAAAAAAAAAAAAAAAAGAAAAGAAAAAGGTTACTTCATTTGCATATAGATATGTATAATATTTCATTATATGAGTTTAGAAGAGAAAAAGAAGAAAATTATACCAATGTCTCTTATGTCTAATAAAATAAATAAAATTTTCTTCCTGGACATTAAGTGAAAGTGAAAGTAAAAGAAAGTGAAGTGAAGTGAAGAAAAATTAAGTTTCCAAATCAATTTGGTTAGCACTTCAAAAAATTTCAAGAAAATTTTGTAAAATTATTATTTTATGGTTAAATAGCATGTAATTTTCCATAAAAGAAAGGGCATTAATATTGTAAGTTCACAAAACTTTCTCAATAAATCAAAATTTTCTTGTGATTTTTGAAAAAAATTTTATGGGAAAATTAAATGGTTATGTAAAGTGATATTCCTCAAAAAATTTTCATTTCCTGCAAACCAAACTTCTAAAATGTTTAAAAATTTTCCATTTCCTTTCTTTTCTTACTTTTTCCATTTCATTTCATTTCTTACTTTTTCCATCTAACCAAACGAAGCCTAAAGATGGTGTTTACAAGAAAATTATTTAGAAATATATATATAAATTGTTGGAAACGGGGGCATTAAAAACATAAACTTTGGATGAGAATTTGAATAGATTCTGCTAAGAATTTTTTGCGAATTTATAGACGAGCGCGTTTCTCCCCGCAAGGAGATAAGTGTGGTATATTTACTTTCTCAAATTCGTTTCTGGGTAAATGAGAAATTAACTCCAAAGTAAGGTGTTTGATAAGCCTAAATAGGTTTGCAAAATGTGGAAAATGGTTGTCCCACATCGGAAAAACATTAAAATCAAAAGGCACCATGAGGCCTATATAAACCCCCCTTTGGGTTCATTCCAAAGTGCTCTAATTCAGAATCCTTTTTTCTAATTCTGAATTCTCCCCTTTCTCTTTCTTCTTCTATAAGTGTTTGTGGGTTCGAGCTCTTGTCTTTGGGTTTGAGCCTTAGTCAGTCACTCCGAATCCGAGTTCGAGTTAGAAAGTACTACACCGAGCCAGTTTGCCTATTCCTTTGGTTTGCAGTGCTACTACCGAAGGAAGTAAAAGTCATTGTATCCTTGGAGATAGACGCCACTAAGTCCGTTAGCACCATAGTGGGCCGAATCTGTCTTAATGACATAAAATCGAATTCTAACCTCGACTTCTAATCAGGTTCTTTTATCTTATAGTTTTATTTTATTATATTAAACTATATATTATAAGTATTTATATACATTATATTTTCAGATAATATTTAAATAAATAATACTATAGTATATGGTATAATTAGACCATATTTTTGGACTACAATCTTAAGATAGACTTGGCTTCTACTATAGTTTAATTATTTAAATATTGTTGTTATTTTATTTCTGTAAATTTGACTGTAGTCTGTATATTTAATGTATATCACACGAATAGCAAATACAAGTACTACTATGCCTAATGTTCCCATCAGTCATGGGGAGAAGCCCAAAAATTTTAATAAGGCGGAGTTTAAAAGGTGACAACAGAAAATGATATTCTACTTTACAACTCTAAATCTGAGCAAGTACCTAGCTGAAATTGCCCTAGTGATAGAAAAGGGAGAAATTGACATTATAAAGCTAGGAGCTGTTGATGCATGGAAGCATGGAGACTTCCTATGCAAAAACTACATCCTCAATGGATTTGGACAACACTCTATATAATGTGTACAATCCAATGAACACTGCTAAAGAGCTATGGGAGTCACTAGACAAGAAATATAAAACTGAGGATGATGGCTTGAAGAAGTTCGTGGTCAGACAATTTCTGGACTTCAAAATGATAGACTCCAAGATAGTCATGAGCCAAGTGCAGGAGCTTTAGCTGATCCTACATGAGATACATACTGAGAAGATGACTTTAAGTGAATCTTTTCAAGTAGCTTCAATCATTGAAAAGTTACCACCTACTTGGAAAGATTTCAAAAACTACTTGAAGCATAAGCATAAGGAAATGGGGCTCGAAGACCTGATTGTCAGGTTGAGAATTGAAGAAGATAACCGCACATCTGAAAAGAAAACTGTGAATTCTTCAATGGTGTCAAAGGCGAATGTAGTGGAAGATGGACAGAAGAATAAAAAGAGGAAGTACTCTAGAAAAGGTCCCAGCCAAGGAAACTACAAGAGGTTCACTGGAAAGTGTTTCATATGTGGTAAGCTAGGACACCGAGCTAAAGACTGTCGTAGCTGCAAGGCATAACATAATCACAAGAAAAAGACCACTAAGGTGCGCATTGCTGAGGAAGATAAGTTGATAGCTAATGTGTCAGAGCTAAATCTTTCAGCTGTGGTTTCTGAAATCAACCATATGATCAACAATAGAGAATGGTGGATGGACAC